ACTATAAATACTACAATACTGTTTGATGATCATGTGTGATGATTTAGATCTCTATAAATACTACAGTACTGTTTGAGGACCATGTGTGATGATTTAGATCACTATAAATACTACAATTCTGTTTGATGATCATGTGTGATTATTTAGATCTCTATAAATACTACAGTACCGTTTGATGACCAAGGGTGATGATTTAGATCTTTATAAATACTACAGTACTGTTTGATGACCATGTGTGATGATTTTGATCTCTATAAATACTACAGTACTGTTCGATGACCATGGGTAATAGTTTAGCTCACTATAAATACTACAGTACTGTTTGATGACCATGGGTGATGATCTAGCTATAATGTAATGGCTGCCAGTGATAACTTCTCATAACTCTGAAATTATGGTATATTCTTATATCATTTTTTTTAAACATTTAATGACGCTAACTATTATCATGTAATTAACTGTTGTGTCCCGTAAATAAGAATTGTCTATGATACTTATAAAACTTGTAATTAATAAAAAAAAATACATAATGAAAGCTGATACCGCATATATATGGGCGACTGCAGCCCAACTCTCGCGGCAGATCTCCAAGAACAATAGGCTCAAGCCTGCGTTATGGAGATCTGCTCGAGTTGCCAATCTCTGGCTTTATAGTGTCTCTGCTTGAACTATGATTTTCTATGACATCCCCTTGCCAGCAGTTTGAATATCTATATTTGCCTAAGGTTGTTGCCCAAACAAGAAGTCCACTACTTTTACTCTAAACAATAGGGGATTAATCCTCCATTGTTTATATATTAGTAGGGTCTCTTGTCAGGTCAGTGGTCAAGGCAGAGACATATACAGCCACTCTGTAGTAGATACGTCTCTGGTCAAGGCTCACCGGACTGACTCTACCTAATCTTATTGTTCTAATGTCACACGGTGTGGTGATCACCCTGTCAGTTGGGAGAGGACTATACCATCTGTTGGAATTAGGTATGTGGTAAAGTGTTATTTCAGAGGTAGAATCTATTTTATGATAGATATACCTGTATTTTCACCTGTGGTTTCAAGTACACATGGTCACCAGGAGTGATTTATTATACCAATTAAAAAATATAAATTTTAAAAATTTCAAAGGCAATGTAGCACCCTCCTTAATTAGCATCACTTCATCAGGTGACTAATAACCAATGTTAGCATAAAAGCTTGGCGTGTACATCCTTTTAATATACATAATTTATTACTTGTAAGGGTGTTAACCTTGTTCAATAAAAGACAAACAGTTCAAACAGAATTCATATTTATGACAAAATGAATTAATATTAATTGCCAAAATGCTCGCCTAAGCTACATGTATATCTCAAGTTCAAACTCAAACACTGAAAAATGACCATTTTAATGGCCTGACACAAACATCAACATTTTAACCAAAAATCCACATTTTTATTAATTTTGTTTTACAAACATATAAATAGACTACTCTACGTTATAAAATATAACTTGGAAACTCAGAAAACTATTCTACGCTTCACTCGATCTATTTGTCAATGGAAATAATGTCCGATAACTTAATTCTTGCTTTCTACGCTCGGCAGTGCTTGAGACGGTTTAGTATTACATCTTCAAAAAATACCTTCGCCTCGCTCCGCTAGGAAGTGAAAGTATAAATTGTCCCAATCTTAGAAAAAAAGAAGTTCTAGATTTTTGTTGGCAGAAATTAGTATATATATGCAGAACCGCCATTACCATTCTGATATATATCAATACCAGAGAAGTGCAAAATTTTGGGCAACATCTAATATTAATTAATTCCAGNCCCCCCCCCCCCCCCCCCCCCATCCTCATGAGGTTACTTACCTTTAAGTGTCAAAACTTAAGTATAAGCATGGAATTAGATTAGTCTCTAACTCCGTGGTATAATTAATATAAGTACCTTTCAGAAAAAAACATAGGGAAAAGGTAATTTTCACAAAATGCCACAACTCATCACTTTTAAGGTTTTTCAGTAACTTTGATTATTTTTTTCAATTGCCATGAATTGGGGTATAAATGAAAGCTTTTCACTTCATTATTTTAATATTGATACTGGAAGATAACCATGTTTTTAGCCCTCACGTTATGAAATTAGTGCTTACAGTTGAAATCCAGTTTCTCTGTACCCTGTACTGTAATTTCGATGAATGAGAGTCTGTCCTTACGTCATTTTAGAAGGAACCAATCAAAACGTGACAAGGGTATCACGTGATTTTCAACACGGCCGTATGTGTATAATGTCAGAGCGGAAATGGTCACTGATCATGGAGGAACACTAGTGGAACGACTGACTGTTCAGAATATGTGGATTACATAGTGATAACTCTTTTTTTTGATATGGCTGATCTGTCACAGTCTCAGTGTTGGCAGCACCGTCTCGGGAAATAATGCTATAGATGAACAGAAGGAATATATCGTTTGATTAGGCTGGAAATTACGTAAAATCGCTGCGTTGATCTTTTGTTTAGAACGGAAATGTGTGTATTCACAGATTCAGCGTAAAGGAGTTCAACAGTTTCTGGAAGATTTCTAAGTAACCGGCATTCTGTTACATTTAGATATGGAGAGTATAGACAAAGACTGCACAGTACTGGGAGGGCTGTTCCAGATCATAGTCAATGACATGAGGGTACGTATATGATGTTTCGCCATCATCAGTGCTTGTCTAATACTGCAGACTCACGCCATGGGGGACTCTGGCTACATGGGTGCCGCCCCTTTCGAGAGCTCACTGCGGGTATCCCTGGGTTTGGATATGTAGACTGCATGTACAAATTTGCCCTTCTACACTATTTCCAGATCAAATCACAACTATAACTTACATTTTGGTGACATAGTAAGGAAGGGTACAGTAACCCCAGCCCTCGTTAAATGAATCAATAATCTGAACCCCAGGGCTAAGACTGTTGAAGTGATATTGTGTGTCTAGTTTTGGTGTCATTAAGGCCAAACTGCCAAATAAAAGAATTTGACCAAAATTAAACAGCAGCATGCATCACATTGAGTTGGAACAGTAAGTATTTTTACCCGGAGAGTATATTTGCAGTTACTTCCTTTACCTATACCACTTAAGTCAATCCAGTCAACATGGACAAGGCTTTCAGTCGACCCTTCATGAGGGTAGGTTGACCCCTAACTATATTCGCTTATTAGAGATTATTATATGACCATTTTTATATCACACCCCATATCAGCCAGAGGGCCGAAAGCCTGTGGGTTGATATATTAGGACTCTCGGGCTGATTGGGGGTGATATCAAAACGGTCATATCATAAACTTTTCATCATATGTTTTTTTCCCATTCAATGGCCGTAGAGATCTCCACTCATTTTGAGAATCAGATAATCCGTGAATATTTTGATGTCCGATTGCATTTTTCTCAGTGTTTTTGTTTCTCATGCTTACCACCGAAGCTCCGGTATCATTAGCATTATTGAATTGTTCCCCTACATCCATAACACGTTTCGTCTACTTTTCCATTTGTTCGTTGTCAATTAATTTGTCTAATTCAACAATCCTTGCATTGCTGCCAATTCCTCCAAAATCTGCAGACGACAGGTGTAACACTAAAAAGCAAAACCAAACGCGGAAGTGGCACCACCAGGAAATTTTGGTGGGACTTTGTAAATCAATCTTTAAATTATTTTCCATGAAACCGCAGTTATTCCATGCAAACAATTTGTTTGTTTACATTCAAAGCAGACAGCAATAAGCGAAAGCAGCAAAATACGGAAATTTTCGAGGGGTGTGATATCATTTTTCTAGGGGTCGTGATATCGCTTTCAAGGGGGTGTGATATCACTCCAAGGGGGTGTGATATTACCCCAGCTGATATCAACTTGTAAATATTTTAGACTCATTACACATACAAAAAGGGTGTTATTATTAGTAAACATAAGATAAGTAAATATAATGTTCTTCCCCAATATTTAGACAGGTCCATATATATTTTTAGCACTTAACGTTATACACCTCTGGCTTGACATGAACACAGAATATCTAAAACTGTCATAGATAGAGAATAATACATGCCTTTTTCCATATATCACACCCAGTATCAACCTGAGACTGCAATATCAGCCCAAGGGCCGAAGGCCCGAGGGCTGATATTGGTCGAGGGTTGATACTGGGTGTGTTATGGAAAAAGGCGTGTTTTATTCTGTTTATTACATACTTACTAATAAAAACCACTATCTTATGATTTATTTTTATTTTTGAAATATTGAAAGGGGTGTGATATGGGTTTTGCGGGCTGATATGGGTTTTGGGGTGTGATACGGCGGGGGCTGATACAGGTTTTGGGGGGTAATACGGCGAGGGCTGATATGGGTAACACAAGTGTGTCGTATCGCATATACAAAAAACCTGTATTTATTAGTAAGTATGTAATAAATAATATTAATAATAATAATAATAATAATTCAAGGTTCTTATATTATTCAATTAAAGCATTTGGCTGAGGTCGATACCTGGATTTATCATATCTTTACTCAGAATATGAGTGTTTTTGCATATTTTATAACTTCTGACCACTCCTGATACCACTTCCGGTCACCCGTGTGATAAGTTTCTCGTAATGCACCCCCCATGCAATAACAATTCTTGTAGTGCGCTCCCTGTTCGGAACATCTCTACTTCTGTATTGGATATGGGAAGCGCCCGAAGCGTTCCGAGTAGAATCCAGATTTGTGCTGTCAGGTTTTTTTTTCATTGTGTTTCATCTGCAATGAATACTATAGTAGTAGTCGGACTAATAATTACTGACAGCATTGATTTGAAACGATATTTATTCAGAATTGACTGAATATCATCTTGTAATTACCTGTTTCAGTTGACATTGTTGATTAAATTATCTAATTGGTTTTTCCTGTTGACTTGATTTTTTGTTGCTTGAACATATATGATAAAAAGTTTATAATATGACCATTTTAATATCATATCCCTTATTAGCCCTCGGTCCCGGCTGATATCGGGACCGAGGGCTAATAAGGGATATGATATCAAAATGATCATATAATAACCTCTAATTATCGACCCGAGAAAAGATATATTGACAGAGGAAGCAGTCCGTGGTCAATATGTCTTTTCTCGGGTCGATAAATCCAGGTATCGACCGAAGTCAAAGGCTACAATTGTTTTATTATTTTCAAAAGAGTAATGTTACCAATCTGAAAAAAAAATCACAGGAAAAATCTACGGAAGCGGGATGATGCGTTCGTTGGAGATACGTCATAATTCTATTTTTAGAAACACCCAGTCTTTCAACAAAAATCATGCGCTCCAAGTCAATATCAGTTTTTATCAGTGGACACGTGATGCACTCCTGTCCAATCACTTGTCGGGAATAATATAAAAAAATAATAAATCGCTTTATCACAACCTAGTTTGTTGGTCGTCTCAAAGCGGTTCACTAATTCTTATCCGTGGTTATAGGGCCTTTGCAACCGGCCAATATCTTTCTCAACTCCCTTGGGAGCATACAGCCAGTGCTGCCATTTTGGCGCTCACAGCTAGCATTATACAGAGGTTTAATTATCATTTAAAACAAAAGGTACCTTTTGATTATCAGGTGGTACTATATGATCCGGGCCGCATGCCCAGCCTCCAGTACATTAAAAACTGGCAAAGCCTCGAGCCGGGGGAGAGCAGGGCAGGGAGCTCCCCCCAGGTTTTTAGCTCACCTGGTCCGAAGGACCAAGGTGAGCTTATGCCATACCGCAGCGTCCGTCGTCCGTCAACTTAACACTACTAGTCATAAGCACTGAGCGGATTTTAACAAAATTTGATGTGAAGCATCCTTGGGTGAAGAAGAACCAATTTTATATAAATGGTGGGTCTGGCCCCCCAGGGGCCAAATAGGGGAAATATAGCAAATTCTTCTTTAAAATCCTTCTTCTTCTGTAGGAATGAAAGGATTTTTTCCATATTTGGTCAGAAGCATCCTTGGGGGAAGGGGAACAAAGTTTGTATAAATGGTGGATCTGGCCCCCTGGGGGCTGAGGGGCAGGGCCCAATAGGGGAAATGTAGCAAATTCTTTAAAATCCTTCTTCTTCTGTAGGAATGGAAGGATTTGTTCCATATTTAGTCTGAAGCATCCTTGGGTGAAAGGGAACCAATTTTGTATAAACCGTGGATCTGGCCCCCCATGCCAGGTACCTGAGGGGTGGGGCCCAATAGGGGAAATACAGCAAATTATTCTTTAAAATCCTTCTTCTTCTGAAGGAATGAAAGGATTTGGTCCATATTTGGTGTGGAGCATCTTTGGGTAGTTGGGAACCAATTTTGTATAAACCATGGGTCTGGCTCACCAGGGGCCTGAGGGGCGGGGCCCAATAGGGGAAACATAGCAAATTATTCTTCTTTAAAATCCTTCTCCTTCTGTAGGAATGAAAGAATTTGGTCCATATTTGGTAAGAAGCATCCTTGGCTAAAGGGGAACAAAGTTTGTATAAATGGTGGGTCTGGCCCCCCTGGGGGCTGAGGGGCGGGGCCCAATAGGGGAAATATAGCAAATTCTTTAAAATCCTTCTTCTTCTGTAGGAATGAAAGGATTTGGTCCATATTTGGTCTGAAGCATCCTTGGGTGAAGGGGATCCAATTTTGTATAAATCAAGGGTCTTGCCCCCAGGGGCCTGAGGGGCGGGGCCCAATAGAGAAACATAGCAAATTATTCTTGAAAATCCTTCTTCTTCTGTAGGAATGAAAGGATTTGGTCCATATTTGGTCTGAAGCATTTTTAGGTAAAGATGAACCAATTTTGTATACCCCGTGGATCTGGCCCCCCAGGTGCCTGAGCGGCAGGGCCCAATAGCTAGGGGAAACATAGCAAATTATTTTTTGAAATCCTTCTTCTTCTGTAGGAATGAAAGGATTTGTTCCATATTTGGTGTGGAGCACCTTGGGTAAAGGGGAATCAATTTTGTTTATTACCCAATAGTCTATATAAATTATAATTAATCATTTTTGACTGTTTCTGGCCTTTTGTCCAATTTCGGCTGTAGGGGTGAAACAGTCAAAACTGTTTTCCCGGTCGGAGCGAACTGTTACCCGGCGCGAATTCGATGCGCAGAAATCCCCCCTCGAGAGCCCCGTTCAAGCGTTTCGGTGACCGCAACTCAGTGTTGAAGCAATGGCAACATTGCATGCAGCATTGATACTAATATTTATTTGGTAATAAAACAATTGTTTCATGGTTATTTTGGGAACAGTCAAAACTATCATCCCTCGGTAGGGGGAAGCCCTGTGGAACTGTTTGCCCTTGGCCTAGCGGCCTCGGGCAAACAGTTCCCCAGGGCTTCCCCCTACCTCGGGATGATAGTTTTGACTGTTCCCCAAATAGCCATGAAAAAATTGTATAATATACCATGGGTCTGGCTCCCCAGGGGCCTGAGGGGCGGGGCCCATTAGGGAAAACATAGCAAATTATTCTTTAAAATCCTTCTTCTGCCGGAATGAAAAGATTTGTTCCATATTTGGTGTGGAACATCCTTGGGTAAAGGGGAACCAATTTTGTATAAACAGTGTGTCTGACCCGCCTGTAGGCAGAGAGGCGGGGCCCAATAGGGAAAATAGAGGGAAAAACTTTAAAATCCTTCTCCGACCATCAGGATTAAGGGATTTTATCCTTA